CTACCCCTTTTTAATCTTCATCAGGTTGAAAATGCTCCATTCTTCTCTGATGAGCTCCCTGAAGCTACGCTAGAACTCTTGGGTAGAGTTGGGTGAAGAAATCTCTTAGTTATCAGCCAGTAATATTTGAGGGGACAAGAGGCTGCAGTTCAGATTATACAACAAAAGAATATTCATCAGTAGACTAAAAAAAGATATGCCTCAAAAAAAAAAAAAAAAGATGCCAGGAAGAGTAAATACTCTTAGTTTAATTTACAGGAATTACAGACAAACAAGAGATGGTGCCACTCTGATTCCACAGAGAAATTTAAGCTTCTTGACTTTAAACATTAGGTTTATTGAATAGCATAAGACAAGATTTTCTAATAATTCTTAACAACTCTTTGAGTTCACAGAAACAAATCCACCTAGTTTTCACTATTTCTCCTGCTAGAGCTTTTTCTTTTTTAATGCTATAGCTCAGGGATAATAAAATGTTTTCACATTAGAGAAAGAAATGAAAAGGGAAGTGTAAAAAAGTCCATGTCACAACCAAGATATGTACCTGTTTAAGTGATTTGGAGTGGATGATGCACAATTGAATATAAATATGAGTATACATACATACACATACGTGCACATACATGAACACAAACACATCGCAGAACAAAAGACAAATATTCGAGATTTAACCTAGAACAGATCCTCTGTGGTTTGATGTTATTATTATTATCTAGAAGGATGTCATTTGATGCATTTCTTTAATTTGACAACCTGATAATTCCACTTGCTTTTAAATGAAAAAACCATCTCACTTACCTACACACACACGACCATCAACCCCAACAGCCAAGCCAGGTGGACACTCACACCGAAAGGATCCTTCAGTATTTATGCAATGACCATTCATGCAAATTCCCGATGTCTGACATTCATCAATATCTATCAGGAGGCAACACAATTCACCAATCTATTTGCTGTTTTTAAGCAAGATTACCATTAATGTTTTTAGAATATTACCAAATGACTTTATTACAGCAGATGAATTGCCATCATATCCTTGTTTTGTTTCTAACAAAAATCTCATCTTGGAATTACACTAATTAAAAATCCAGCTGCGCATTAAAAAACCCCACACCAACCCTCAACAACACACGCCCCCCCCCCCTTGAAAAACTGTAGGATTAGCAGATTAGAGGCACTTCAGATTACATTTTGCCCTTCGTCCATGCTATGATACTATAACTTTGCTTTAAAGTGTGGTTAAGGAATTATTAATCACAGAGTACTCATATGACAGTAGATTTTAATTTTGAAGAACTTTTCTGTGGTCATCAGTTTCTACCTAAGTCAACAGCCTAGCTGCATGCTCATTAAGAAAACCACAATCAATAGAAATGGTTCAACTTCAAATCAGAAAACTAAAAATTGAGGTGATTTTACACTTACTAGAAATTACTCAAGCCCAAACCTACTTCTACTGGCAGCAACAGGTATCTTCCATTAGTTTACTTAAACTGAAGCTAAATCAGACTCTGTTCTTGAAGTGTTTAATGTAAGTTTTCAATGACCGCACTTTAAAAATTTGGTAATGCTATGTGGCAAATACAATGTCTTAAGTATTACGCACTCTGAATTTCCAAAATAATGATGCAGAAAATATAGTCGTGTGTGTTCATCAATGTCAAATCTTTCAAACCTCTTGAACTGCCCATATTGTTGCTCATTTTACCATTTCATGAAGAGCCTGCGTGTTTTCCTGCATTTACAATGCTCCATGACTTTTCAAGAGCTACTTTATCATACGTTGTAGCAATACTATTAAATAGTTCAGTTAGTTCTTTCTGTAAGTTAAAGACCTATTTCTAGTCTAGGCAGCTTAAGAAATCTACTGTAATGGATTAGTAAGGTATTACTCAGTATGATATTAATCCATGTGACAAGATTGCCATTCTTGCATGAATGAATGGACAGGAAAAGCCATTTTCAATCAAGATTGCCTTAATGTGTTACCCCTCAGTCCTACATACCAGTACAGTAACGACCATTTGGAGCCAGAATAAATCCTGGTTTGCAGATGCATTTAAAACTCCCATCTTCATTTATGCACATCCCATTTAAACACATGTTTGTAGCAGTGCACTCATCATGGTCTGCAAAATATTGCAAAGAATACTGCTTATAGTTCCTCACCTTCCAGAAGATGACACAGTAAAAAATAAACTATTAGTACTGATATGACATATTCCTTCACTTGAAGATTTAATTCTACTCATAACTCTGACGAAGTGTCTCAGGAGTTTTCATTCTACAAAGTAGCAAATTTTTTTTCCCATTGTGATCAGTTACTTTGCATACTTCAGCAGACTGTGTATGGAAGAACAGGGTACACCTTTCTACATGAGGATAAAAAGCTTCAGTCACCTGACAGAATCAAGACCCTGTTGTTTATCTAGGAAGGCTTTTTTTTGACACAGTAGAGTCAAAATTAAAAACAGTTATTTCTTCAGCAGTGCTGATACATGGAGCACTTGCTATGAAGCTTTAGGGAAAAATGTTATTCCTGGCACTGAGTTACCTGGGACTCTTGACAAGAGATGTAGCTTCAGAAACAGAAATTACTTCAAGTTTTCTTTGAAATCATGCAGTTCTGTACAGTAACTATTTGAATGCAGGGGCTCTAAGTTCACCTCAGGTCATACCTCATTGCAAAAAAGGTAATCCTTAATGATCCTTAATTGTATTACAGAGTACAATTTCTAGAATCACTACACTAATGCCTGTGCCACTCTTTAAAAGAGTCCTTACCCACACAATTTTTTCCATCTGTAGTCAGTTCAAACCCAGCATTGCAAATACACTGGAAACTTCCATCAGTGTTTACACATCGGCCATTTTTACAAAGAACACCATTCTGGATGCATTCGTCTATATCTAAGTCAAAAAAAAACCCAACCCCAAAAAATCACACAATCAGAGAATTACTGTAAGATAAAAACATATACAGTGACAATTACCGCTTTGAAAAATACTGGCATGTTATTTAAATATGTTAGAAAAATTTTTCCAAAGACGGTTAAGAATTTATTCTCATTGCATCAGAGATAGGAAAAATATTATTTTACAGACTTGTACAACAAATGCTACATTTTGGGATGCTCAGCAATTACTTTATGTCATCCGTGTACCTACATAAATATACACTCTATTTCATGATTTTTCTGTAGAACTCCCAGCTGGGGAATTCCCTGGCCAAGTGACAGATATTACAGAACAATGGATAAACAGTAAAAGACAACAGAATAAATGGAATGGTAGCCCAGAACTAGAGCTGCAATTAATATAAAAACTGATGAGATTTACTGAAATCATATTGCTAACTATTTTTTGAACTTAAATGGAATCTGTCACAAGGGATCACAACACCTGCAATGTCAGAAGAAGTGAAGCAAATTTTCTTACCAATGCAAGCTTGTTTGGTAGGAGTTCTCTGGAAGCCTGCATGGCACTTGCAGTAATAGGAACCAGGTGTGTTGACACAGTCTCCATTAGAGCATGGGTTTGATGTGCATTCATCAACATCTGTGGACAGCACCGTAGAGCATTAGAGAATTCACAGTGTATACAATATTTTTTTTTCAAATCTAGAAGTTTCTAGGTGAAAAAGACGGTAACTAATAGTCAAATGTTAAATACTAAAACTTGTTCTTGGTGCAAAATCATTACTTTCCTAAGTAGATAGGAAAGTAATAATTTTGTTCTTAGTCCAACTAGGCAGACATTTTTAAGAAGTGAAATGCTACTACATCATTTATATGCACCTTGAAAGACAAAAGAAAAACTATGTGAGAGGCTTTTGAGACAGAGGATCTGACAGTTCCCTAGTGAAAGTGAACACTTTATTCAACATAGTTTCATTTAACTGAATGACTATTCATCCTTCTTTGGAATAAACCCAATACAAACCAAAATTGGCATTTTAAAATCAGAGCAAATCCAACAGCACCCCCCCCCCCCCCTTATGTTACAGGTTTATTATAGAAATGTGAGGAGGAGCCACATACCGGCAGGAGGGATTCTTAATGAGACCACAGTCTGTGCACCACATCTCAATTATTTATGCCCAAGGGGCATCCTCAAAACCTAAAACATCATCAAACGCAGTCTTGCATTTGAGTAATGCCAGACTTCATCTAGCCCTTCTCTACAATGTACATTACTCTCCTTTCCAAAGGTTTTTGGTATTTCAGTGCTATCAAACACACTTTAACCACTTTAAATCTTAGGTACTGCTCAGAAATAACTCCCATTTGACACAGGGCTCTGAAAACTTTTAACTCCTTTCAAGAATCCTTCCCAAATTTTACCCCCAGTGCTTACCAATGAGTCAGATGTGTCTTTGGCCTGACACAGCTATTCTCAGCTCTAAAATAACACTGTTCCTCTCTATTATGTTCCCCTAAACCCTTTCAGGATCCTTGCCCTCTGTGATCCCAGGAGCAGAGCGAGTGCATCCCTCTGGTTTGGCAGGCAGAACTTCTGGCTCAGTCTCTCCTGCAGCTACCACAGGATGACCTGACCAGCCCATCTCTGCTACAGCTAAATTCACAGATTACAAACTGAATGGATCCCTTGATGAAATCCCTCCTTCTTCATCAATCACCTTTGCTAATTTGACTTTTTCCCTCCAGCTATAACCTCCATTTCCCTTACAGGTCTGAAATTACTCATCTCTTCATTTAGGTAGGCTTTAATACCACAAAGTCAATGGTGATTTATGGGAGTTTCTGGTATCTGGCTGTAAGCTGCCATAGGAAGCTGGGGCTAAGTAAAGCCACTGCTGATCAGTTCTTAGTAATGATGATTTTTCCATGCATTTTGCAGCACGCTATCAGAAATACCAGGAAAACACAGGGCAGTTTTGCTGATCATTTGTACTCATCCATTATCAGGTCAAGTTCTAATACTTAGTTCATTACATCTTGGAAATAATGGGATGGAAAGAGAATTAAACTTCTAAGACTATTTATATGTTAAATAAACATGTACTTCTAGAAAGTGTTGTGCCACCAATGACTTGATTCTAAAAAATGGCAGAAGTTTAAGTTTTGTTCTAATCTAACCATAAACAAGACCATATATTCCACAGGATTTACCGTGTTAATGCCAATTAGCATTAAAACCAATAGCATGAATATACATATCAAAGACATCTGGGTTTACCCAAATTTAACGAGCTGGTTTACAGCACTCTTGGTGCCTAGATACAATCAGATTGTTTTGGGTAAACAGTTAAATGAATGAAGGCAAAACAAATGGAAGAATCAAATACCTCCTCTCACGCATATTTAGCTCATTCACATTTGCATAGCAGCCGATAGCACCACTCCAGTAAAACCAGAAGAATGAAGATAAGAGAAATTCAGTGTTAAATACAATGAAGAAAATAGTAACTATACTGCAGTAGACCTCTATGTAATTATAGTAGTTTCCTACTCTCATGCTTCTCTTCAGTGCCTGGCTGTTGGGATGCTCTTTCTCACACGTGCTAGATTGGGTACTTTTTCCTCAGTCCTTAGCTGATATGGGGGGTCAAGGAGGATTGCACATAATTCCTTCAGAACAAAGTCCTCAACTACTAACAAAATGTCAAACTCTAAATCACATTTTCACATTAATGTTTTGTCAATTGTCTTAATTCAAATGACTTTACTGTATATTTATCTTGTTCTAGTATTGGGGAGGACAGGGGGAACTTAGAAATACTAGATATGGCATTCATCTATTTTGTTTAGTTTTCCTACAGAGAATGGCACTTATGACTTTCTTTATTATAGGCTTCAACTTGCTTCATCTGTTAAAGAAAACATGTTCATGCTAGAAATGG